AACGGGTCTATTATACTTTCCGTAGTAAATAAATATAACGTACGTACATTAGTTACACTGATCAGTCGATGGATAAAAATATTGCGTGAATACGCTTCGAACCGATTTTGACTCTCCCCTACCACTCATATAATAATGCGTGTACAAGGTGATTTATTTAACGTCTTAACACTAGTCGATTGTCGCTGTTTTTTTCTGCTAATACATGCTTTGAAACGAGTCACTATTTATAAAAAAACGTGTTTTTGTAATCCTTTATTGTGCTATTGTTTTAGATTTTACCTTTTTTTTTCTTCATTTTCAAACGACCACGATTGTTTTTCATTCAATATACTAAACCGGAATATTTTATAAGACGTGTGATATAGTATAATATGAGTATTAATTATTGAACTAGAACATAGTTTATTATTTATCATTATTTGAAGTTTAGAATAAAGATATGTATATAGTGAAATTATGAATGTCGAGACGTATTCCCCCTAATGTTAATCAGCTTATATTATTATATCTTATCTCAACTTTGAACGCTTATAAATTGTTAAATACGACATTGGTTAAATCAACGGAACGTTGTTAGTTAGCTGTTCTGCTTCAAAAAATAAAAACATGGTGAGTGAGTGGATAAGATGTTATAGAGTAGAAATAAAGCAATATCCGCTTGAAAAAGGAAATAAAACCATTATTTTTCTTCAAAAATATATTATAATAATCTATCGTATAATGTATCGAACATATTACTTTAACCTAAAAATATATAGGTAACAAACAATACGATAAAATCGGCTCTGAAAACGACAAACAAAATTTTAAAAACACAATAAATAATAAATTGTATGAATACAATTTTCATAACACATATTACAATTATTGTTATTAAACGATCCGAATACACGTCTGGTTAATATCATCCCGCGCTCGCAATCCTGTTAGTTTTCGGTTTATTATTCTTTGTTTTACATTTTATCCAAAATCTCCGAACATTCCGAAAATCAAACGATATTGTTGTGATAACAATATTTTTATTGATGCACGCATCATAATTTTTGAATAATTTTCGTAAAAACATAGTTCAATAAGGAATATTATTATTATTGTTTCAACTTGTTCAACAATTTGTTTTTAAATGAAACAAAAATTTACTGGGTAATATAGTATACGAGGATATTAAAATTTTTTTTTAGAATTCGTGTATACATATCGATCCGTGAATAAATAATAACATGTTTTATAAAATAAATAACCAGCAATTGGTTTGAAAACTATTATTGTTGTTGTTTCTGAATCGAATTACCATAACCTCTCGCATTCACTGTAATGATCGAACGGTTGGAGCAAAAATACTGTTTTTGATGTTATTATAAAAGTTTAACTTTAAACAATAATTGTTAATATTATATGTATAATTATTATACAAATTAAACAACCTTGAGCGTATTTGAAATATTTTTAAAAACTATTACCATTACACTTTCTGTAGAATATTTTATCTAATACTTTCCAATTCGCTCATCAACAAATGTTTATTGACTTTGTATTAAATATTTTAAATTTATTATTTCAATGTGTATGTTCTATGTAGAAGCGTTGTTTCAGATATACATTTTTTTATTTCAAAAAATCGATATTTTTTGAAGACCATATTAAGAAATATACTTTATACACAACGAAAAATATGATTATTACAAATTGTTATTTTCAAGTATATCTATGTATAATATATTATATATGTATAAATAATTATAAAAATACTTACATTTTTTAAAATATAATATAATCGTTTATAATACAACCAATTTATAATACGCGTTTGATATTTAATGTATACAACAGTGTAAATTTATTGAATTCACTTACAATTGAAATTCTAATATTATGTGTTGCCAATGTAATAATAAATAATGCGATTTAATATTTTCTTTCGCTATAGTGAATTAAGTATTACGTGTATACTTATAGAATAATGCAACTTTTTACATTAAATACTGTCGATTTTCATTTCAATGGCTATCTATATGAGTTTAATGTAATAATATTTTAATACAACTTATTGTGCAAATTATTTGCTGAGTATAAAAAATATATAAAACACGTTGTAATATAAAAGTTATAACTTAGCAGAAAACTAAGTTTGTTAAGAAATTATCGGTTTTTTCACAAATTACTTTTTATTCTCATTTTTAAAAAGTATTTTCTTTTTCTTAAAAATAACCTGCCTAGTACAACACCGCTTTTAGACTTTCTTTCTTAATTACAAAAGTTATGGAGATACACTATCGCTATAAAGTTGATAATTCAGAAAAATATTTTTGGTCAGATATTTCCTTTTTATAAAGTATCGAAAAATCAATATTTTTTATAAGTATATACATATAATATAAAAAAAAATAATAATGTATATTCTTTTGACTATGAATACGAGTATATGCTTGAAAATCATATTCTGTTGGTTTTAACGATAAACATATAACATGAATTAAAAATATGATGGAAATATTTTTTTTTTCGATTTTATAAAAAGTTTTTTAAATAATATTAATTAAAAATTGATATGAATATTTAAATTTAAATTTAATAAAATACGTCAACACATTTCCTGCGACAGTGCTTTTACATTATATTCTATGTTTTTAACGCGTCGATTGATTTCATTAAATTTGTAATTAAAAAGAAGATGAACGCGTAATAATATACTGAACCAGGTAGTACATTTATCCTTTAATAAACACGAGCAGCCCACTTCATTATTTTAAACAGTCCTGCGTACTATATGAGATCATTGATTTTCGTTACATCGATTACACGATGCTGACGTAATAATTTTCCTGCGAAAAATGTATACGTATCGCCGCGTTCTGAAACAGTGACACCGCAATAGTATTTTTTCTATTTTCTCTAATCGTATTTTTTAGCCTTTGAATGCCGATCAGAAAGAGCATTTTGAATACGTTTTCTATAAAACACACCGTACTATACTATACAATTTGAACTCGGGATTTGTTTGTACAACCCGTAATGTATGTGTATATTTATATTTTATAAAACAATAAAGCGATGGGCCGTAAAACATTACTATCGGTGTAAGTTTCAACGGGCGAAATTATACGTAATATAATAAGAGCTGGTCATCATTTATGCTACCACAAAAGGTGTGATGTTAAACAAGTTTTTATTTTATTTTATCGCGAACTCTTTGAGTTTAAAGGGTTGGAACAAAGAGTATTTATGCGCGTGTACAAACAAAACGGAAAATATAAAATAAAAATTTCAATTATAATGTTCTACCGCTGTTAGGCCCCTGGTCTGTGTGTATATTATTATGTACGTGCAATGGCAGTATATTATTATATATTTTTTTTCATACCGTTCATATAATGAGGCGAAAAGGGAAAAAATACCAATAACACTACGTTTTAATAGTCGTCAGACGATATTCTCTCGGTGGAACATTATATTTAGAGTTATAAGGGGGGATTTTTCAATTTTTTTTTTGTTTTTTTTTGTTTATCATAATTATTATTTTTACTATGGGCTTATAACGTAAACACAAACTTCAATAGGTGTTAAAGTAAATACAAACACAAAAGAGTACGAAGTTTTGAAAGACTTCCACGCATCAATATTGATTTTCTGTTTAAAAGATAACTTTAAAATCGTTCATACATATTAGAATTATATATGTGATAGTATTATGTTTCTCATTCATTCGCACTGTGCTCACGTATATACTCGTAACATTATGTACCCGTACAAAAAACGATTTCTCTTTCTCCATAGAGTAATTCGTATGATTTCCCATATGCACATGCTCGATATAATATTATATTGGCGATAACATTATAGCCTTATCGGTAATTGAAATGCTTGATTTACAGATTATTTTTTCGCTTTTTTTTGTGCCGTGAACACGTGAGAAAAAATCGAAAATTCCAGGATCAATGAAAACGACGTTTCCACGACGTCGTCTTTAATGTTTCAATATTATACTGCTGTAACGTAAATTATACATCCGTTGATTTATATAACATCGAAATTTGAACTTAATAATAATAATAATAACTGGGTGTGCTTATAACATACCTAGTGACATAAATATATATATATATATGTATGTATTTGTTAACTTTGAATTGCGAACACCGCACGTGGTATTACTTTCATCAAAGTCGCCGTGATGAGAACTCGTTCCTCCGCAACAGCCGCCGTCGACTTGTGAAAATAATTATGGCGAAAACACGCGAAAAGTTACCTCGTTTCCACAGCGTCGTTCAATTAAACTACGAAAATCCGAACGAGATGCCGCGTTTTTTCTTCTTCTGGATTTTCTTTTTTAATACAATTACTAAATTATACCCCTGCCGAGTACACAAATGTAACGAGTTTCACACGCGCACGTATACATGTATAAAATAAAAATAAAACCAACCGTTTATGTTCAGCGCGCTGCAATGCGTGCCATTGACACCGCCGACATGGCTTCACTACACGCCGCGATGGTTTATCCATCGGCTTGTGCACAGTGATTAATATTAATATGCTGTACGTTTATATTCGTTTCGTTTGCGCGCTCGTGTGCAGCGAACGCAATTGTGTGCTTGTGTGTAACATTCCGACCTAATAGTTACACGCGGAAAAATTAATTTCGTTTTATTTTCTCCGGCCACGCATGTGTTTCTTGGTGTCCGCGCGCGCGTTAAAAGTTTGAACATAAAAATAGGGCGGAAAAAACTTCTCAATGACCAAAGTTTCACCGCGCGGTTGGAAGAGAGACCAGCATCACATTGTCCCTACTAATTATATCCGCGCGCTCGTCCGAATCAAAAGGTCCTTTGGGGCATCGGTGCCGTTTTTCCTCCTCGATGAATTCTTTATGGACTTGCCGGATTGTCTATATATATATACGTTGTATACGCGCAACGGGTTTTTGTATTATCTGCAGGAAAAAAGTTTATCTCGTTATGCTCGGCGTTATAATTATGTTTTTTTTTCTTTTTCCGCAGCCATGACCGAGATCAACCTTTCACATTCCAACTTGGCGTGGGACAAGTGATCAAAGGATGGGATTTGGGATTGACTAAAATGTGCGTCGGCGAGAAGAGGCGACTGACCATTCCGGCTGACCTAGCGTACGGTGACCGTGGAGCGGGAAATGTCATCCCCGGAGGTACGTAACAAACCCCAATAACATAACATAGTTACGTTCACGGGCGCTTGCAGGCTTTAAAAAGTGTAACGGACGCCCGTGTTTCTTTGTCATACCGTTCGTTGTCAGTGCCAGCAGAAGGGTGATGTCATAGGGGTTTTCACGTTCAAATCGTTGAAGCTCACATTTTATATCGAATATTGTTACTGAAAAAAATCGCGAATATGAATGTAAATTAATGGTCTCCTTATTCGTAGGTAATATTTTCAACGGGTTCCATAAGTAAATCTCAACGTGCGTTCGAGCCCCTAGGTATCTGTACACACGGTACCTACGGATTTGACATCCGTGATCTATGTGTATGTGATATTAAAACACTATGTAAAAAGTACGACTCGCCGGTATTGCAGACGCGAGAATATTTGATATTTTAATGGAATTAAGTAAAGAATATAATACAACCACACGATGCAATAATAGTATATTAATATACGAGTATATTCTTACACGCACGAACCACTGTAAAAAATGTATAAAGATAACTAACGCATCTGTTCGTATTATAATGTACACCAATTTGTAAAATTATTTTTGCCGTGCGGTACATTATATTATTACATTTTCCCCGATGGCCGAATTACCGCAGTCCCTTTTTATATTTTTTGCCCGCATAGAATTCCTTAACTCTTCTATAATTTTTTCGTAAGAACGCCACTCTCGACAGTTAATAGTCTCATAATTATGCTCAAATGCATTATTTCATTTGATTTGTTATCAAATATAATAGTTATTACAACTTGTAATTTTCGCCATTGTATAAACATCACACGTTAAATGATCCGCGTAAACTTTTAAATGTCTGAATATATGTTATGCGCATGTCTCCATGTCGATAGTTCTATTACTTCGAGCTTATTGTTTTATTCTATTACGCAAAAATCAATCGATATATTATCACCTGTGTCGCTCATGCGTATTGCTGAATATAGTAGTACAATTTTCAAGGGAAACTCGATCGTTTTCAAAGCTTCGTCAAACATTTCGTATTTTTAAAACTGCAGTATTTTTGTCGAATGACACTTTACATGCATTTATTCTTTCAACAGGAGCCACGTTGATCTTCGACGTTGAACTGTTGAACGTTGGTGACCAAGCGCCTACCACGAACGTGTTCAAAGAAATCGACCAGGACCAAGACAAGCAACTGTCGAGAGACGAGGTCAGCGAGTATCTTAAGAAACAGATGGCTGCGGCTGAAGGTGCAGAGGGCAGCGATGATATCAAGCAAATGATGTCCGACCACGAGAAGCTTGTCGAAGAAATATTCCAACATGAAGACAAGGACAAGAACGGGTTCATATCGCACGACGAATTCACCGGACCTAAACACGACGAGCTGTAAGGAAAATGGACATCCGAAAACACAATATATAACTTCCATTCATTTCATCGATATACGCGTGTGTATAATATAAATAAAGTACAAATGCGTTAGGATAATATCAAAACGGAAGTGCTTGTATTTAAGTGGGATACTCCAATATTTTTTTTTATTATTATTATAATAATTATTGTTTTTCTTTTGGGGTTCGACAAAAAAAAAAAAAAAAAAAAAAAAAAAAACTCCCACAAGTACCGTTTTTTTTTCTTTTTACGAATATTATTTTATTATATTTATTTGATACAAAAAAAAAACAAAAAACTATAATTAGCATCTTTACATCTTTATATAGTCGTAATTGGACTACTTCTATAGTCCGCCAATTTTTTTTTAATTGAAAACTTTTGTAAGAAGACTGTTGAAATAAAAATGTTTTTATATATACATACGTATGTATACATATAACGTATAGCGTTCATTATTATTATTATTAATATTATCATTACATCTACGTGTATTTTACGAGCGTTCTTACTGTACACGATGTAATACACTTGTACGCACGTACTAACTATAGTACTAACTATGAAGAACTGAAAACACGTGAACAGTAAGTACTTATTCATCGACAAACGTAATAGGTACACCAACGTACGTCAACGTTGGATGTTTTCAGAAAAGCTTATACATTTCACTATGGGCGCCGAACTTTTAATATCAACTTTTGTTTCTAACGGTACGCACACATTTATAAGGTAACCCGTACAGAATTCAACGTGTACATAATATACAGCGCATACGTAACGTAAAAATTATGATTTTCGCGGTACAACGCGTTCGCGAGCGTTTCACGTGTAACGTCGAAATCGATTTTCTTCCTTGTCGTCATTGTTGACACGTATTTGGAAACATATTTTAAATGAATTCCACTGGGTGGCATTTCAATAAAATTGTCTACCAGAGGAGTAATAAATTCCTGTCATAACGGGTGTTATGTTGGTCAGTGGCGCGATCGCCCGTCACCGAGTGGCATCAAATAATCACTGCGTTGGAGGGGGGCACCGGTGCCACGTACTTTGTACGTTAAAATATGCTCTGCACGTGCAAAATGAAATCGCAATCGTACACGAACAAATCTAAATGTCAATCAGTTGTGCCAGGAACGATATGTGCCGAGCGATGCGTCGGTAAGTATACAGATGTATATTTACATGTACATTTGTATGCGCGAATGTAGTGAAAAAACCATGGGTGTATTTGAATTGAGGCCATGGGGGGGGAGGGCAAAACTAATTTTTCTTCAATACAAACTTAAAAATAATTTACAGTTCATTACCTACAGCTCTTGTTTCTGTTATGATAAGTCTATCATAGTAATTTATATTCTTAATTATTTATACATTACATTTTTTAAATAAATGTATTATATTCAAAAATAATACGAGTGATGGGGGGATGCCCCCTTCCCCCGTCCAATACGCCCTTGGAAATAACACGACGGTGTAAGACGAAACTGAGCTATTGCAAACTTGCAAAATAAAATACAACGGAGGGAAAAAAAATTCAACGGGCTACGTAGTAGTCCTTATCGATGTGCTAAGAAGACGATCTACAAAGACCGAACCGACCGAAGTTCGAGTCAATTGACCGCGAAAACATTTTGAAATGAAAGATTAATGCAAAACAAAAAATAAAATAACTGTCCGCACGCGAACAAACGTATGGATATAATTATGCGGCAGTTATATGATATTTCCGTTCGAATAAGCGATGCATTCGATATTATGTTCTACGAAAACGGCCCGAGGCCATATTACCCTGTACCAGCCGAATGTTTTTGGATGCCGAAACGTCGACGATGAGCTCTTATTAATCGGTGAATATTGAACGGTTATTTCGGAAGAATTTTGATCGGTTCGCCCGACCAACAATAATAATAACCGTGCAATTCAAAACTAATGGTACACTGCTGTGCGATGGCGAAATAAACGATGAACGTAATTTAATACGATATTTTGGGATGGGCCCGATTGAGCGGTAGATTTACAGCAATACATATTATCCGAAGTAGGTATATTAATAATTGTGCAGAGAAAGAGAACGAGAGAGTGAGAGAGAACAAATACAAATTATGAATATCGTCTTAATAGCCCAAAGCACGAAATTTGTCGCAACGATAAAAAGTTAAGCTTTTTTTGTACATTTTAAATTAAAACAATTTTCTTGTTACGAACATAAAACAGTATGTTTACTGCTCGAAGGTATACAAGATGTAATATTAAAAATGTTATAATACAGAGTAGACACGAATAATCGATAAAAACTCAGCGGAACTATAGTTATAACTGGAATATATTTGTTATGATATAAAACTCAAAGAAGCAATCTTTGAAAATCTTTGCTACAAAAAATATGAAACTCACGACGTAAGATAAATTACCAGTGTATAATATTAAATTCGATTATGTTTTAAAAATATTATTTCTCAGCCTGTCGGTTAAGATCGATATATTAAAAATTTCAGACCTTATGATCGACACCTTCTACTAACGAGTGCACCGGTCGAAACGAATAATTGTTCAACTGAAAAACGTCTGTTTATAAGCGTGCACGCAGATGGTGCCAAGCGTGCCCGGACACCACCCGGAAAGTTATAAACGAGGCCCTACGATTTAATTCTAAGAGTGATGGGCCCATATTTTAACTGATGTTGCTCAAATTAAATGTAATTTATTCTTAAATATTTGTTAAAAAATAAATGTTGTTTCGTAATAAAAAAGATACAAATAAACTTTCTAAATGTTCGTGAAAAAAAACGTATTATGATAACATAACAGCTACAGTTGACTACAAATGTACAAATCATAAATAATTGAAGCTATCTGTGAAAAAAACACGAGATCCAAGGAAAACGTATTCATTGGGACTATTGTACCACAATATTAAACAAAAAATTAAAGTTATGTTTATTTATGTTAATTATTTCTACATTATAGTTTATTAAATTTGCCAACACGTTTTATTAAGGTAGGACCCACAGGTATTGTAGACACCCCTTAAAACACAGGTTTGTGCACATCTAAGAGTCTGTTGGCGAATAAGCAAACATTACTGGTTTAGTTTCGAACAAATCAAATATTTAATATTACGTTAATTTTCCAACCGAAGAATGTGTCAGTTCCTCGTGAGTTTGATTTTCTGCTGAACGCGATAAGTGTTAGCCGTATAAACCGACTCGGTGTGATGCAACGTATACGTATTTTCAGTCCGCTGATAAATATGAGTATTATGCACAAATCAATATTACAGTACACATATTTCACGACCAACACAGAATTTGGGAAATTTGACGCCGGATACCGAACAAAAATAAGTAACGCATTATATTACTATTATTATGCTCTTGTTCATCATTTTCAACTCGCGAAAAAAAAAAACGATTGGAATAATGATTTTTTTTGTTTCCTTCTTAATTTCAATCCAAATTAAAGCTGTTGATTTTACTATTGTTTTTATTTTTTCCCAAAAACACTTTTTTGGAGATGGTGAAAAAGTTTAAAAACTGTGTCGAGACATCTCTACGACCACAGATAATTGCATAGGCAATTTTTTTTTTCATCCAGGACAAAAAACTCTGAAGAGGTGGAATGGGTGTAAAAAAAATATCGTGATTTCAACTACAACTACTTGACTATATGCTTTGATAGGCTACAGAGTTCCGCTCATAATAGTTTTTCAAATGCAATTATTTATCAATTGCTATTCAAGCTTATTCAAGCTACTCACCCCTGCAATAGCGTAAAACTCCACTCTTACACGAAGCTCCGATTTCCCGCTCTCTTATAAATTCGTTTGAACAGCATTATTGATCAGGTAACAAATAAAATAAATACGTCCATGTATTTATTTGTGGTCTCACATAAACCTTAATATTATATATAATCAGGGTTCGAATTTTTAAGCAAAATAAATAAAAACAAAATAAGCATACAATTTTATAAAAAAGCATGAACTTAAATTAAATATACAATGAAATTAAAAAAGTCATTGAAAAATTTGAAATTAAAAAAAAAATTAACTACTCTGTATATAGTTAGACTTTCAATTGTGAAACTAACTCTATTATTAAACAAAATGTTTTTATACATCGAAAATACGCTCTATGTTTACTGAAGTGATTGATACATACTTCATACTGTTTCGTTTAAACTAATATAATAAAACTAATGATATACAATATTTGAACAACACCAGATAGCATTTTGTTATGTATTGTAATTATTTTCAGTTCTTGTTTTCAGAAAGAACACGAAATAATTTTCCTAATATTTTTAAAAATTGAAATGGTCGATGTTACAGATATACTGACCGTAGGTTGATAAACTATCATGAGTGCAAATAAAGAAGGCCTATTTACAACCCTATTTTCATCGCCCTTTCAGACTAAAAATAAAATATAATCATCTATGTCTATAATCTCAATATAAACAATAATTGTTATGTTATTATTTTGTATATTATGGCATACTTTTTATTTAGGAATATCCGAAATCAAAATTTGATTCACAAAATTGTGCCTTTTCATCTTTATCCTTTTGCTTAAATTTTTAAATTGAACCTGTATTAGTGAGTAATGACAAATGTTGTTTGTAAATTAATATATTTTGGGTATGTTTGCGTAGATCCTGTAGGTCTGTGTTATTTTGATACTTATTGCCCCTCTCCAAAATATAAGCTGAAGTTGCAACTATGTTAACTATCAAAAATAACAACGATTTACCGAACGTTTAATTCATTTAATAATCAAACCTATAGACAAAAACAAAAATAATCCTATAACCGTAGTCCGTATTTCATGTTTGACAAATATTGAGAACTGTACTCACTGTCATACATAACTGAGAAGCGTATTTTTACATTTATTATTAAGTTAATTTTTTATTATTATTATTATTATAGCACAATGAACGCATTAAAATTCTATAGCTGAAATAATTGAAAAAAAGCAATAAATAAGCAATTACATAAAAAATCCGAAAAAAGCAAACAAAAAAAATTGTCTTAGAATAAGAATGACATAAAACGAATGTATTTATACAAATTAGATTTCTAACTTATACGTAAAAA